TAGGTAATTTGAGAAGAGGCAGCAGTGTGATGTTTGTTGAGAGCTCATGGAGCCTGAAAGAGGCAAAAGCTAGTGGCTTGGCTGCTTTGCCTCCCTGATCTTCAACTTCAAGTTTGAATGCCAATATGAGTCTCTCAGGATTTTACTTTCCTTGTTACAGATATCTGGAATTGTGGCCTCAGGTTGAAGAAGAAAAAGGCCTACTTCTTCATTTGGGATCCAGGTTCACTTTCAAACAACCACAGTAAATATGTCAGAAGACCGGGCAGCCGAGAGATCGGGCTACACAGAGATCTGTGTCCAGAAATTCTCCTACAGCTGGACCATAAGCAACTTCGGATTCTTGCTTCAGGAAATAGGGGACGCCATTAAAAGCCCAACCTTCTCCTCAGGATTATTCAATGACAACGACAAATGGTGTTTGAAAATACTCGCAAATGGGATCAACGAAGAAAGCAAAGATTACATGTCAGTTCACCTAACGATGCTCAGCTGTCCTAAGAGCCCAGCATGGGCAAGGTTCCGGTTTTGGATCATCAGTGTCCACGGAGAGAAAATCAATGGCATGATATGCCCAAGATTCTTCAAGTTCACATCAAATCAAACCTGGGGATTCAAAAAGTTTATCCATCGAGATTTGCTCTTGTCTCTAAGGTCTTGGCTATTCCCAGACAATGAACTCACTATCTTCTGCGATGTGGACCTCGTGGTCCAAGACTCCCTCATCAACTGTGGGAAGAGCACGGTGCCCGGTATCCAGGTTCCAAGGAACACGTTGGAAGATGAGCTAGGACAGCTGTGGGAGAATTCCCTCTTCACAGACTGCTGCCTGGTGGTAGCTGGCCAGGAATTCCAAGCCCACAAGGCCATCTTAGCAGCTCGCTCTCCAGTTTTCAGAGCCATGTTTGAACATGACATGGAGGAGAGAAGAAAAAACCGCGTGGAGATCCAGGATGTGGAGCCCCAAGTCTTCAAGGCAATGATGGACTTCATTTATACCGGGAAGGCACCAGACCTCCACAGCATGGCAGATGCTGTCCTGGCAGCTGCTGACAAGTATGGCCTGGAGCGTTTGAAGGTCATGTGTGAGGATGCCCTCTGCAGGGACCTCTGTGTTGAGAATGCTGCCCACACACTCATCCTCGCTGACATCCACAGTGCAGGGCTGCTGAAGACCAAGACACTGGATTTCATTACTGCTCATGTTTCTGATGTATCTGACACCTCAACCTGGAAGACAATGATGGTCTTACATCCGCAGTTGTTGGCTGAAGCATACAGCTCCTTGGCCTCTACTCACAGTTCATCACTTGAGCCCCCTCCCAAACGCCTGAAGCAATCATAGGATCCTCTCAGCTGGGAACTACAGGTGTATTCCAGAAGGAGCAGCCAGCTTTGTAACCAAGGCCACCTGAAGACTGCGGGACATGTGTAGGATATCCAGAGTATCTGAGGAAAGACAGCATGTTGGCACAGTACTTTGATTCCCCTCTAAATAAGTTGAATCACGGGATCACTGGATTCCCTGTTGCTGGACTGGGTGACTTCTCAAACATCTGTAACTAGAGACCCAAAGGATTGAAGTCCTCTCTGGTGTCTATGGGTGTGTCCATGTGTGTTAACCAAAGGCAATATAAAGTGAATAAAAATGTTACAATCAGTTTCTCGATTCCATGGTTTTTTTGTTTGAAGAATCCCACTTTAGTCCATATAGCCTTGCTCGACTGTGGAATTTCATACAGAATCCTCAGGGCCACTCCATTCCCAGGAGCTTTCTGCTAGCCTGAGTCCTTTTTTTGCAAGACCCACAGACCCCTAAGGGCCTCAGGATCCCTAGGAGTCCCCAAGACTCAGAACCCAGACCAAGAGCTGCAAAAACAAGAGGGATCATTGAAAGAATGTGCATTTGGGTGTCAGCAAAATCAGGGAAGCTGCACACCCCAGCAAGGTTACAGGCTCCTTATACAGGAAAAAACCACAGATCAGCATACAGGCA